CTGAGTAAGAGTCCCTCTGAACCAACCTCATCAAACTTTTACTTGAGAATGTATAATAAATCAAATAATCTGGGTTAAGGTATGTTGATCCGTCAAACAGGCAGACCTCTGGATTGTGATTTGAATTTGAATGGTCTTAATGCTGTCTTCATTCCTGTTTATACATCAGTGTAACTCTACTGACTCCTGTGGAGTCCGTCCTTTCTGATTTTCTCTGGTGTGACTGAGAGCAGAATAGATTTCACTGACTTCAGCCACTAGTTCTCACATTTTCAGTGTGAGACTGTTGTGTGCCTGTCTCCCAGTGTCTGGGGAAATGGAAATCTGGAATGCCTATGTAGCAGATAGTGAATTTTACATGCAACTTATGTGGCCTAACTTTGAAAGAGCTTGAATAAAACAAAAGTGTGTTATACACTTTATGAATTACACGTTATGAATGCATCATAGGGTCTTTTTTGTGTTTAGAAAGGCTATGTGTAGAGGCTTAGTTTGCACTGAGGCTACTGTCTGAAAACAAATATTATGCAGCTACAGTGATGCCCTTCAACATCTGGAACACTGAGCAAGAGGATACAGGTGGTAGTATCATTTGGTGTTGCTCCACCCTGTCAGACTGATAAGGTCTTGCATTCATTTTGGAGAGAGAGAAATCATTCTGCAGAGTGCCAGGCATAGTGATCTCAGAGTCATTGTTGAGACGTCTGCTGGACTGTGTTTTGAGTGAGATGAAAAATAGGTTCCAAATAATTCAGAGAATTTGAAAAGAGGGAGGGGAAGAGGGATGCAGATAAGAGATTCTTGGTATGTTCTTAAAGCTTCTTCTCTCAGAACAGTGGAAAAGCTGTTGGTTTATAATTTCCTCCCTTCAAAAATGCATCTTTCATAGTTGAAAGATACTGTCCAAAGAATTCTTAACAAGATAAGCAGTGAGTTCAGTGTCAAAGCCTCATACCACAGTGTATAGTAATCAGTTAGTGATGCATTTCTCTGTGGACAGAAGACAGTCCTGCCTTTGTTCCCCTCTGCCATCCTGTTTCCAGGCTCTGTGTATAACAGCTTACTTATGCATCCTGTATTGATGGCTCATTGCTATATTAATTAACATACCTCCTGTCATTGATCCATCAAGAGGGGCAGCCTTTTTCCATATGTGGCCAATGACTGTCAAGTTATAAACTATGAATCTAAAATTATTACTCTCATTTCTTTTTTCTGGGAGTATTAACTTTTTCTAGCATATATTAAGAATAACTGTACAGAGGAAATTACTGTTGTCAATGAAAGATTTTTTTACAGCTAATATCATTGTGCTTGTATAGTAGGACATTTCAACAAAAGGAATCCTAGTTGTTTGCACCTGTACAGAATGAATAAGAAAGTATGTTTCAATGTAAATTCCAGAAACGTGGTCTTCATTGGTTTATGATGTCCTATTTTGGGAAATGAAACTTAAATGCAAAAAAAAAAAAAAAAGCTCAAACTGTTAAAGACTTAGTTGCAATAAGACAGTTTCATTTTTTTTCCATTACATACAGCTTTGCAATATATACCTGCCTGAGTTCATTGTCTTTTTCAATCATAGCTACCAACTTTAGCAGGTATTTCCAAGAAGAGTGAAAGTACTGTTAGCTTTAGATTGCTTTGCATTTACATGAGCAGTAGCTTTTTACATTAATTCCAGAGAGCTTTGCCTTGCATTAAGTCAGAACATAGAAATCAGCCTCATACCTCTAATGACAGGGCATCAGACCAAAGATGAATGTCTTAAAAACCATATGTTTGACCTTCCTGCCTGAAGTATCTGCATTAAGAGAAATGAGATATGGAAATGACTGATCTGCAGATTTTATAAAGTGCATTTAGTTCTTGCTTTCAGCTCTTGTCCTGCTTAACGATTTTTCCCTCTATAAATTTCACTGATGCTATCATGCTTGGCCTATTTGCCAAAGTCTTAGATTGCACAAAGATACCAGGTATATAACTGTTGATCCAAGCATTTACTTGTGCTGTAGAGTTGGTCCTGTCTAACATGTAGAAATCTTTCTGTTGCCTTCAGGTTGGAGGTCTCAGAGAGATTCTGTTGGATTGGCCAGGCAGGTTTCTTTTCATAATGGAGGAGAACTGTATATCCCCTTTGCAGCAACAGGAATGTTAACTGCTGTCTAAAAATGGGTAAGGATTTGCATCAACTTAGCAATAAAAAAGTGTGTAAAGTAACCCGAAAGTATAACCATGCAATTCTGTGCAGCTGTACCTTCCATGGCAATAGTCAAATTTAGTGTGTACATGGGATTTGTTAGAGGAAGTGACTGTAAACGATTGTCAGCTGGAGAGCAGCCCTGGTTAGCAAAGGGAAGCTATTCTATGGAGTTACATTTTTCAAATAGGTTATGTGAATCCCACTTGATTAAGTGTTTCCCCTGTATGGTTGTTGACCTACTCCATGCTGGAAAGCTTGCTAATTTTCTCCTCAAATGACAATAGGGAAGTTTATGAGGAGATTTTTGGAGAGCAACATTAGTTTGGCACACAGTCTTTAATAAATACATCAGGCAGAGAGCTTTTTCTAAGCTGTGATTTAGAACCCAAATTCACAAACATTTGAACGTAATTGCTGCTGAGGATGTTAAGTTCCTCCTTCCAGGTTTGAGGAAATAGTTCACAAAACCTCCCAGAAAGAGAAGTGTGTTCATGTTTCTCTTGTTTATAACAAGCCAATTAAAGCAATATTTATTTTGGTTAATTTCAGCTACTTTGTGAATGCAGCAACAGAGCCATGGTGCTTGAAAGACAGCCTGTGGATGAAAACAGCCATCTTGGAGCTGAATCAAATCCCATGTATAAGAAAAAAGTTTTTCTTTATCATGTGGAATCTTCCCACTAAGAGCTGTAGCAATAGGACCTTAATTTCAGTAAGTCTGTCCTCAGAGTGATGCTGCAGGGACGGATCCAGCGCTTTGGATTTGATTTGTGTTTTGAAAAAATGAAGTCTTAATTTGGAGTACAGTAGCTCCTGAATGCTTACAGTCTTTAAGATGACTGTATGTTGTTGTTGAAAGGATTTTTTGGGTTGGTGTTCCTTCAGGCTTTGCTTTTAGTTTTCCATAGGGAGAGGTAGGTTGCAAAATCAGGATTTTAATTTGTTGCTAAAAGTTTCTGGTAATTTTGAGCCAGTTTGTAATGAAGGCAGGAATCAGCACCAGAATGTAGAATAATACTGAGTCTTCCTCAAATTCTATGAATATTTGAATGTGTAGTTTTGGTTAAGAGCCCATCCCAACCTCCCTTATAAGTGGACAACTTGTTTGGAGTTGTCTTTTTAATGCAACTCCCACTGAATGCCTGTGCTGGGTTTGGTACTTGCACAACTTAACTTTGAATTCTGGAGAGGGGAAAAAAAAAAAGGGCAATTTGGATCAGGTGTTGCACTCTTTTTTGTAAGTTAACTGTCTCCTCCTGCTCAGCACAGGACATTTAGTTTCCATGATTTGTAATGTGAGTTAAAAGGGCTCCATTTAAAAACTTTACATGAAAATACAAGATTACAGAAAAGTTGAAATGAACACCTGAAAGAAAACACCCTAAAGGTGTTTCTCTTTTTGTCTACAGGAGGTGGCTGTTAGACATCTGGTATACTTTCCTCAGCTTTTGCTTTAGGCTAAGAAAGTTAGGCAGCTGACCTTCCTACACTGATGCAATAAGCACTTGTTTTCTAAAACTGAGATATGGGACCTCCCATTTTCTTCTAGAAACCAGTTCTGTGATTCTTTTTCATAGCTCTGCTTTGGTTTTTGGAATTTCTGTGTCCACTGCTTTCAGCTGTGGAAGTACTGTAGTTAATGAGAACCTGGAAGCTCTCTGCAGGTAGGAGTCCTCTCAAAATGGTTCTGTCAAATGGCTACCGTCCTCTTACTTAGGTCCAGTCACCTGAGAGAGGTAAGTTGGGAGCTGTACCCTGTGCTGACTAGACCTTGTGATACAGAGGGTAGCCTGCCCCAGAGGGTGACCAGGTTTGTAAAGCTAAGGAAAAACTGGCCAGGCCCTGTGACCTCCACATCTGTCTGCCTTTCTGACATTCAGAAGGGCAAGCAAGGTCTGACTCTTTGTGACCAAGTTTCTAAAGAAAGCATCTGCGTTTGAGTGAACTTGTTGCTTTACCCAGTTCTTTTTTTGTCTGGGCCAAAAAAAAAAAAAAAGAATCAGGAAAATGCTAAAACTCAAACTGTGGGGCATGCTCTGGCACGTAGCTGTAGTTTCTCCCTATTCCTGTGCTGTTGCTGTGATTGCAAAACCTAGTAAGAGTGCCCTCTTGCATGTATCTATACATGACATGCACCCATGTCATGGATTATAAAAAGAAATGTGACTGGTTGGGCATGCCTTCAACATTAGAAGTGACCGCTGTGCCACTATGAAGGCTTGCATGATACCTTCACTTCAGGACATTCCTGAATCTTTCTGCTGGCTCTTTAATGTTCAGAAATCTAATCCAAATGGTGTTTAAAGTGTGGCTATGCATGCAGTTCCTGCCACTGATTTCAGTAGGAGTAGGGTGGTGCAACAGATCCAATGCCCAAAGACACCAGTGAAAAGAGAAGAAAACCATTTTGGAAAGTGTGGGAGAAATAGAGCTGGTTTAGTAGCAGACCAAATTATTTCCAAGTAGTTTTATAAACTTTTAGTCTTTTTTTTTTTTTTTTTCAAGGGGGAGGGTATGTGAAGAAGAGGTAGAAGGAAATTTGAAATTTAGAGCAATAGTTTAATTAAAAACATTGTTATAGAGAGCTAGTTACAACTCATTTAAAATATATATGAATGAGAATTTTTTTCCTTTTTTTCTGATGAAAATAATGCTTTTCAGTTTTCTGTATTTCAGACAATGCTAACTATGGTTGGTGTTTCCACTTAGCTCTCATTAACTTGGATTTAACTGTCAGGTGGGCAGGACCTAAGAGAACAGGGACCCCAATTAAAAGAATAAATGGCCATGCAGCAAGCTTTGTAGTTAAGAACTTTACATTGTATTGTACTGGAACAAATCTTGCCATAGCCATAAATTCTTATTTTCATTGATAAAGTCAGCTAATTACAATGTTAATGCACTGTAAAAGGGATGCTGGTTTTTTAGACAAGGTACTTCAAAAGGGTTTTATTGTTGTTATTGTTATTATTAAAGAGCCTGCCCCATGCTTCTTTCTTAAATTTTCCTTTTCTGGGAAAGTCCTGAAGTGTGATTCTTTGCTTCTTTTCATGAGCACAATGCAATCTCACTTTCCAATAAATATACTTAATTTTTTTCTCCTTAGAAAAAAGTACTAAAAAGAGCATTGCAATATTTGTTGGACAGTTTGAGTCCTGCCCTACAGTAGTGTCCATGGACTGGGGCTGTGGCGGGGGGGTTGTTTGGTTTTAATACAAACAGCACCTGCTGATCCCCTTTGTTTATAAAGGCTTAAAAATATAAAGGAGTCTTTATTGTTTAAAGCTTCAATACTACTGGTTTGAATTGCTTCACTGTGAAGGCTTCTGCATTTTTGAGAAGGCAAATGACCAAAGTCCTTTAATTGAACAGTGGAAGAACGAGGCATGGGTATCTGGATGGCCTGGGAAGACTTTCTGCAACCAGCCATCTATTGCTTGGATAGCTATTAGAAGACAAGACATGGGGCAGTTGGAGGCTAAGTTGCTCTTTTCAGTATGGATATCCATGGTGGTAACTTCCGTGGTGACGGTAGTCATCTTGGTAACCTTCCTGGTATCCTTGGTGATAGCTATGGTAACCATACCCACCATACTCATCATCTGGGCACTGCATGCCGAGCGATTGCTGAATTGTCATTTCCTGTCGCCGAAGCTGCATGGAATCAATCAGATCATACACAATCGCCATAGACCACATTGGAGAAGGATACCAGGATTTGACATTTCCATCTTTCCCAACTAGAAGCATTGAGAAATATTCTGGGCTAATTTGGAAATAATTTCGAATGTCTTTCACCAAATTAGCTGGGATATCTTCTCGGTCTACAGCAGAGCTTCCTAGAAAGTGATGACATAAAAACAGCATTGATATTTTGTTTAAGCAATGATGACGGTTTGTAGGTAAGTGAGTTAGCAACTTGAGATAGGATACAGCTCAAGAGTTGGCAATGTAAGATTCTTGTCATTTACAAGTTCAGGTTTTCCTGGTTCCAAAATGAAACTGCTCCACTGTGAACTAAAGATGTATTTTTAACAGTTTTGTTAGGTTTAGTAAATTTGTCTTTACTCTCTAGACTGAAGCTGCTAGTGTGGCACACCTTTTTGTCACCCAACACACATGCACTTCTCTGGCTTCTATGCAGTTTGGGTCACTGGTTCATGTAATGCAGAAGGTGTATGTGAAAAATAGTCACAGTGAAATAAATCACAAGGACTGAAGTGTGATAGTGTGAAGAATTGCAGCATGAATTTGCTGGGTCATTAATGGCAGTATAGAGTCTCACTCTTGAACTGTCATGATATATGAGATATGGGATGTGGTAGATGTGGTAGAAGCTATATGATGTTTCGCATAGGAATACCAAGAAAGCTTTTTGTTTGCTTTTGTGTCATCTTTTTTCTTAAAAGAACCAAAACAAAAGAGAAAAACACAGTCATACCCGTCTCTCTAAAGAAATTACAGCAAAGAAACACTCAGCATTATGTAATGCCCTTCATGGGTAGTGCTGAAGAAACTGGAAACAGTCACTTACCATTAATGGGATACAACTCTAAGACACCTCCAATATCTTCTCCAAGTCCTAGCAATTTGAGGATAGTGATATGGCGCAGACCTGTGGAGGAAATGAAGGAGGTTTTGGATCAGACCAGATCTTTCTGCTCATTTTTGGGCAGATTTCGGTTTCATCAGCCAGGTCTGTGCGTGCTAAATTAGGGGCCAATCTCAGCCAGCCCTCTAGGAGGAAGAGTTACTGATTTCTGTGGAGTTTCTGCCAGTCACACCACCTGTCCCAAAAGTGGTGATAAGCTCGTGCGTCGAGTAAACGTGGTATCAGTTGCATAAAAGCTGTTGCTAGTGTCACAAGGACAACAGCATTTGGTGTGGTTCTGTAGCATAGGGATACAAGCATCAGACATGCTAGTAAGTTGCAGAGGCCATTCCCCAAATTCAGAATGTTTCTGCACTGTTCTGTTCACTAGTAAAGCTCTTACTTGTCATACAGCAACGAAGTATTTAGAGGCAATATAACCTATCACAGTTAAACTCCAAATGACTGCAGGGAATGGCTTATGACAGGTATACACTTCTTTCATTTGTTCTAGGCAGAGGCTTGGACTGTTGCCTCTGCTTTAAAGAAGGACCTTAGAGGCTGTAGAAACTGTTCATGTAACATGAGTCTGTACAATCTACAAAATATTTGGTGCAACTGTTTTTACAACTTGGAGGTAAGATGCTTGGAAAACCTATCACTTAATTACAACACCCATTGAGGACAAACACTTTAGAAACTCACTGGATCTCCTTCAAGCTGTCCCTAGCAAGGGGTGGGGAGAATTAGCTGGTTTGGTTCCATTCTGTTCTTCAGAAAGCATTTTATAGTGGTCCATGTCACAGTTTACTTCGGTAGTTACCAAATGAGATGCTGCTGATGCTCTGAATGAAAGCCAGGTGATTATGAATAAACAGTGATACTGTGCAGATCTCCCTTCAGGCATAATTGAAGTGTATTGAAATAGCAGCATTTGAATGGGATCTGTTTCATTCTGTTGTAGGAGTCAAGTCTAGGCCCTGTATGGTATTTGCATTGCTAGGAACCTAAGTTAAGGAATGAGTCTCTCTGCGCTTCATAATGGAAAGGCAGAAGAGTGTTTCTGGGTCTTGCTCTTAATTGCCTCCTGGAGGAGCACATCTCTCTCCACTGACTATGTGGTTGGATTTTAAGTACCTAGTTAGGGGGCTGGGAGGGTCCTTATTGGATTAAAGTGGCTTCCATTAATATTTTTACAGGTTTTGGCAATGAAGCAGGAAGGAAAAGAAAAAAGCCTGATTTCCATGCATCTCCCTGATACCTGGCCCAGTTTGAGTTGGGTATTAGAGGATCTGCCCTTCCCAAAGCATTGTACTTATGTTGTTAATTTGTGCAGGGAGAAAAAGAAAATACTATTGATCTCCTGAAGTACAATCCCGAAGAGAAGCTTTGGAGTGCTAACCTTTTCTGCTTCACACAAATGATTCCAGGGAACATTTTGTTTAGCTGTCTTAGCTGTCAGTGTATGCTGTACTACCTGCTTAGTATAATCTTTTCTATTTGGATTTGGAGTAGCTATGGCAAACTTTTCAGTTGTCAGACTCCTCAGACTGTCTAGCTTCAGACTTTAGCAAAGGAATCCATCACATCACCAGGAAGGATGTGGGTTGGGGGAGCAAGAGTATAATTTCTTTTGACTCACCAAAATTGCAGGCTTGTCCACTGAGAGCAGCAAGCTGCTGGGAATAAGCCCAGTCCTCATCACTGGGAGCAGAGATCACCACCAGCCGCCTTCTCCATCGGAATCTGGGAGGGGAAGAGAGTGCGACAGGGCATGGTCATGACACGTGACTCAAGTCCTCTCAGCATTTTTGTTCTCTGTAGGCTGAGATATGTCATACCTCTCACAACTTCTAAGTAACAGCTGGATGGGAGATCTTCCCAGTTCTATCCATTACTGGGAGAGGATAAAGCCTGTTTGGAATTTTACAACTCCAAAACTCTCAAAGAAACATCTAGTTTCACTGCTTTGCCAAACAAACACTGCAAAGCTTATGATCTTTGCTCAAAGCCCCCTTCAGTAGTTACAACAATGCTGAGAAGTGTATATTCAAGAGAAAGAAAGATTCCTGTAGAATTTCTCACTAGACATTTAGCTTTTACGTCATTGACCACTGCTGGAACTGCACAGTTATTTTGCAGTCCAAGGGCTGTCTGAGAATTAGGGTGTATCTTCATTTCAGACATAACTCATACTTCTGTGTAAATATTCACTGACCTCTTTTTCTCCTATACCACACTTGCTCAAAATACCTTTAACATGGCTTTAAATCTGAGCTTGTTTGTAAGTATGTGGTTGTGTGAGCCTGTGGCTATATAAGGCATGCATGGGGCAATAAAATAAATCTTGGGTATTTCTTTAATATGGGATGCCCCATCTAGCAAACTTTTGCACCAGGAGTACCTTCTGTTGTCCTCTCAAGGAAAGGCAATGCCATAAGGACACTTGAAACCTTTAAAAATTCTAACTATAGGGGGGTTTAATACTCTCCAAACAACCCCTTTTTTGAATAAAGGTACTTTTCCACTAAATCTAAATAAATCAGATTTATAGGAATTTGCAAAGCTGCAGGGGTATTTTTATAGCAGGAAATGATCTTTTAAATGGATGCAGATGTTACTCTGTTATAATAATAGCCTGCCTTTCTGCAGCACCATGTGAAGATCTCAAAGGCTAATGCAATGTGTCAATTCTGTTCTATGTGAGAGAAGCAGAAAATAATGGTGGGACTTGCTGAAAGTCACAGAAGAATGCTGGTGTCTTTGTCTTGTTGGCTGGCTGATACTGTGTGTGTTTTTGTAATTAAAAAAGTAAATCCTTGAAAAGTAAAGCTCCCCAACTTTAATTGTGCCCAGGAGGAACAGCAAAGAGACATGGGCATATGTATACAGTTATGTCAATAGTAATGAGAAGCATTAAGAATCACATGTGACATTAAGGAAAGGGGGGAAGTTTTATGTTGTTATTCTGAAAATGGGAAAAAAAATAATCTGTGTGATATTTTATATAGCAAAGGCACCTGGCTACCTATAAACTGTGACCGAGAATGTAAACATCGGATCATATTTTGTCTAGAGCACAAATCAGGATGGAATTTTATCTGTGAGCTGCTTTAAGATACTCTTAATTCCTTTCTGGTATTTTGAGTATCTCCATTGGAGATGCACAGAGTTGAAAAAGATCGACAGCCACTCAGGCTGTTGATCCTTCTGCCCCAGGCAATCCCTATACTTGGTATGTTTGTCTGGGGCTACATCTTACTGAGAAATTAATTCAGTTGGTCCTTCACAGCTGTTAGTTCACCAATACTTATTTCTGACATCAGAAGCCACAGGCCAATACTCCTGTACTGACAAATCTGCCAGCCCCTTCTCTGGGTGCATCCTTTCTTCCTCTTCTACATATTTTGCATCCCATTCTTGTTTGTGAGGCCAGAGAGCAGCACAGCTAAGTGTCTTGGTGTTAAAGGGGGACTCTCCCCCACCCCCCTCCCCAAACTCAAGGATCTCCTCCTGATAAATGTGGCTTTTAAACATTACTCAAGCCAGCTCTGGCTCTCATGGTCTCATGCCAGCCAGGCTTCTTAAGAACAGTATTTGCATTATTATAACTGACCTCCCCAATGAGCAACACCGGGGAGATGATGCCAGGACTCTTGTTCAGCTGGGAAGATAATCTTGAACAAAGCTGGAATGAATCTTGCTGGGAGTCTGACCGGTTAACATGGCTAGTGAAATCCACCCAATAGTTAAAGCCCAATGCTTGTTTCACAGACAACAAATGCGTTCTGTGCAGTGACAGTTCTGTTTATAGATGCAATTTTGTGCATTTCTCCTGCTTCTTTTTCTAATGTGTGTTTCTTGCTAGGGCTGTTTCCAAGCAAAGAAGGTTTTGGGTCTGTCACTTTCCAGCATACAAGCTCTTTCTTGTGTTGGCCAGCTGTTTACAAACTGTGGTTCTCTTGGTGGTCTTGAGGATGAATCACTAAGACCTAAACAGGAGGTGGTGAGGTGGGTGGGGTGGATCTTGTTAAAGGTTCTCTTTCTGTTGAAGTGGCCATCGAATTTTAAAATGTTTATGAACCAACAACCTAATCATTTACCTGTTGCTCCTTTCCTCCTCAAGTCATAATCCATCATGCCGCCTCATTTATTTTTATAGCCATCTGGCATTAACGGTGTCTTCCCATGGATTCTGATAGTAGGTGAGGAGGATGCAGTAGTAACAGGTAAAGCCTAGAGTTATGGGGTACCCTAATTTCATGTAAATTATCCTGTAACAGAGAGGGCTATAGCTGCAGAGCTCTCCTGTGGATCTGAATTCCCACAGTCCAAACATGTTTATGGCCTGGAATTCAGGTCTTGCAGGTAGAGCAGTAACACAGCATATAAAGATTTCATGAACAAAACTGTCTTTCTGCAGAAGGTCTCTCAAACATTTTGCAAGAGACATCTGCAAGACCTTTAGTAATACGCATGACTAATACTGGCAAAGACCAACTGTTATCTCAAGCAGGATAAGAAGGAAGTTATAGAGAATTAATTACTGATTCGAGCTACATGGAAGGGATTAAAATGAGATTAATGAGATTGTGATGGTTGATGATTGAAGCACATAAACACTACGCTTCATACATTCAAAACACTGAGCTGTGTTCGCTAATCTGTGAATTAGTCCTTATTTGCTCTTCTAACGCAAATCAGCGTTATTATCTCCATGTCATGATGGGCGAACTGAGGTACAGAAAGTTAGTATCCAAAGAATGTGCAGTGAGTCTGGAAACACAACATGCATCCTGACTTCCAGTGCTCTGTAGAAGACTGCATTCAGCTATGGCTACTTCTCTGTATTTGCTTAACACTGTATATACTGAGAAATCTATACTAAAAAATCACAGAAATAGTTGGATGGGTATTTTTCCAATAAGACAATAATTATTAGAACTAGCAGCAGATAAGAACAGAAGGTAATACCTGGATAGGAAACTCTCAAGGGATTGCTTCTTATCTTCTTTGCAGACAATGCCCTCTTTTTTCTGTCTTTCCATGTCTTTAATTCGTGACTGGAAGGTGTCGATCAAATCAAACACAGACTTCATTGCTATGGGTACTTCATAGTATTGCTGTTAAGAAAAAAAGAACAGATGGGTAAAAGGATGCACATATTAGCAGTCTTTCTGCATGTATCACAGCACTGTAGGATATATAGAGATTCAAGTATTGCTGTTTACACACAGGTAACAAGGTCTGAAACAGATTAGAAACCATGGAAAATATTACTGTTTTTGCAGTCAGACTGGTCTTTGGAAGTGGTATATTTTCAGTATTTGCCCAATGTGATAAGGCCAGGTCATTGCAGGCAACAAATTGTCATTATATTCTTTTGTAAGGCCATTCAGTTAGAGCATTGTCCATGTGCAATGTGCTGTCATCCCACTGAGCAGCCAAACTATGTGTTTTATAATGCCAGCTACTACATTAAAACCCCTGCCAGTGGGGGGTCCTGTTCCTATGGTGTCAGCTCACCATCCCAGCAGAAACCCACAATTCCTGAAATCCCCTAACTACAGAAAATGAAGATAACTACCTAATTCCTGAAAATTTCTCTGTCCTTTTTATTGTCCTTCAGCAATGACCAAGTCCTGCATCAGTCTCTTATGTGCCTCACATGCAAGCCTGTAGTGTAATTTCCTAAAATTTTTCAATTTTTTCATATTTTTTCAATGCCTTTTCTTTCAAAGAGTCGAAACCCTCACCTTGACCTTCATATCAGTGTCCGTCAGCACCATGAAGAAGTCATTGTAGGTCATCCCATACTCTTTCCTCAACTCACTGATGAGCTGCTGGTCCACAAGATCTTCATCCTCTATCACTTTCATGGGCTTTTCATTATCTTAATGTGAGACAAAGGAGAAATAGTCATGGGTGGAATCACACAGCACTCTGCCTTTAATTTCACCTTGAAAGAAAGGGGGAAATTCATTTCCCAGAATCCCTTTTCCTGCTGCATGGGCAAGTTATTAAAAAATATCGGTATGGCACTATGGCTTTTAACTGTCCAGTTTTCAATCCCCATATTTTTTGAAAATCAGTTTATCCTAGGGTACATGCACTTCAGTATTCAACATTTCTACTTTTGAAAAATCTTGGTTGGCTGCTCTTTCCTGGAAGATCTTTCAGATTTTTTCAATATGCTTATACATGTATATGCATGTACTAATCATTTCACCAGCTCCTGAAATGCAGCTACTTCTGGAATAGAAAATAGAAACTGTTCAACAATTTAGGACAGGAGCTGGAAAGCACCATATCCAAATGAAACAGCATAGAGAATTTGGATCAGTAAAATATAGCTAGAACAGCTTGGGGTTGGCCAGGACACTAGAGTTAACCTTGCCAGTCTTAAAAAATTACATGGGACGTTTAGTGACAACAAGAAACCAGAAACTGTTTAATGTGTCTTGAATACTGCAGGCCTAGCTCTTCAGCTCACTCTACATACCCTGCTGTGGCACTCCTCCATCTGCTTGCTGATGTTCATTTCCCATTCTAGCACCCTGACAGGAAAAAACTTAAATTTTGAGAATGATTTGTACCTACTCACTGCTCTACCCTAAGAAAACATTCAGAAACACTTGAGGAGAAAAAGAACTCTGAAGACAGATAGTTGAAGCATGTACAAGACAAGCCTGTGGAGATACTGAGGTTTCTTACTTCCCCTGGAACCAGGGTGTATAAGGGCCAAGTCCTCCATGTCATCAGCTCAGCCTCAGCTGTAGCATCCAGCACAGTGCTATACAACTGCGACAGTGCTGGAACACTGTCCTCCGTCTGCAACTGTGGGCCTGGAAAGCTAAAGACAAGCTAAATCACACACAAAGTGAAATGTCACCTGAGCACCAAAGACCTCTCTGCAAATGTTACTTGCTTATGCCCTGTGACACCACTATGAATATAAATATTCATATCCTCTCGTATAAATCCCAGCCACGGCTTAAGTGACCTGCCTGAAGTCAAACAGAGATGTGACAGCCGATCAAGAGCTAGAATCCAGAGGTACAGCTTTCCAGTCCCCTGCTCCACCATTATTCACCAGCAAATACAGATGAGATGAATTGATCTGGGTTGAGCACACAGCAACAGAAAAGATTTCATTCATTATACAAGAGGGCATTTTAAATAATTTTCTAAACATCCATAGCCTTTAAGGAGCATACTGATCAAATTTTGCAGTAGGTTCAATCTGTGTAATAGACTGAACGAAACTTCTGAATTAAAACCTTGGGAAAATGTCTGAATCAGAACTTGACCTTTAGGTTTCACACCTTGGACCTGCTTCTTACAGAATAAAAACCCCAACAAACCAGCAAATGTTAAAATATGGTTATACTAATCTAGCTATTGATATAATTTATGGTTTTACATGGTTACATGTACCTCAGTTGAAAGTTTTGTAAAGAATTGTAGGCAATGTTATAAATTCCCCATTGGATGAGTTGCTGGATGTGCTAATTGGTTATTGACTTCGTAAAACATATGTAAATCATGCACCAATGCTTCATAAGTGAGATTTACATGTTACTAATGGCAAGCATGACCATTAAAACATAGACCAAAAATTCATACTTCTGCCTGCAAACAGTTCCCTACAAAAGCAAAGACTACCTCATAGGGCTATATAGAGGTAGAGTAATGCAAAAGATGTTAGTGTGAAATGTGATGAAAAACAGCTATATGGTGCAGTACCTTAGACCAGCTGACCCATAGCACTCTTCTGCTTTAAAGACTCTAGATACCAACATGAAGATAGCACTTTAGAGTTTCATTGTTAGGAGATTTTTCTTTCAAAACTTACGATGTAAAGAAGAAAATTAAATTACAAGAGTGATACAGAAAAATGTTTCGGGGCGGGGGGGGGGAATAATACCACAAAGGCTGGCCTGCCTTTCAAACTTGGAAGTAATTTCTAGGGAGAAAAAAAAGAAGTTAATCTAATTGCCTCTTTCCAATTCACTACTTGTCCCTGACCTCCACTTCTTAAAGTACATCTGGGATCAGCGTGAACAACAACAGGAGTTGAGACTGTCTGCTGCTACCTGCAAAGTCCTCATTCTCTTTGCTCTTTCTAGAAAGGTCACTGAAAGAGTATGGAATTTTTTATCCATACATCTTTAGCAGCTAGACAGCTTGGGGAGATGAGTTACTCTTTAGAAATAACTCATGACGTTGCAGAGAAGTTCAGCAGTTTGTTGTAGCAGTACAGTGGCCTAATAGATTAGGTATTGGCTTTGATTGTAAAGTGGGTAGCCTGGGACTGGTGTTTAGTTGACTAAAGCCCTGTTCCCATGAGTTGGAGAAAAGAGACCACATGGCAAACTCAGGGTGATGAGAAGACCTCTGCAGTGACACTCAGCTTTTGTGTCATTCCAGTGGGAAACTGGGAAATGCTCTTTGGTTTCAGTATGAGCTGATCTTGGCCAAACAGTGTTAATGAGCTCTTTTTCATTCACTACTTCTAAATATGTTTGAAATTTCAAGTGAAAAGTCTTTTCTGTGGACTTTTCTGTTGTTGTCATTTGTATTTCAGTCCTGAGATGCAGCACTACCAGTAGACCCCATCATGCTGGGTGCTAAGGCTTCTCACTACAGCATGAACACCATGAACAAAATGTTTCTTGGGAGCTTTTGCTGCCTCTGATGCTCACAGAGAGTAAGCCATGAAGAGGCCATGCAAGCAGGAAGGGTAGAGGAGAAGGGGAGGTAGAATAGAAAGATGTTTGTATTATTTAAACATTTTTAAAAGCTCAGGATTTGGTGTTTCGGGCAAAAAATGTAACGTGAACTTCATGTAAGGTTTAACTTACACCCTTCTAAGACTATGGCTTTTCTTCAACAGCTTAATTCCTCCTGTGAGAAGTCAGCTGTTATATACACTTGTGTGGTTTGGGGAAATTTGAGTGTAGATTAAGTTTGGAACAGGCTGAAAGAGTATGGTCTATGTCAGAGTAAATGTGTGTTTATTAGCCAGACCGGAGCTAAATATAATCCTAAACAGTCCACTGACAAGCAGATGGGTCTAGGTACACAAAAAGTGACCTTGACTAACCTTGGCTTGATATGGAAAATTCTGTACTGCTCCAGATTTGTTACAGAGGTGCACAAATGGACAGTCTGGCAGGATTTGTGACTTACAGTCATTCAGGGACACAAGGCACCTGGTCCCCCGCTAGGTGCTCTCTCTCTGAGAGCAGTAAAGGCATGGCTGGAAACCAGACATAAATCTGTCATCTTGTGGCCTGTTGTATGCCAGACCTGGAATACCCTGGAGCTGGTGTGGTCCTGAGCTTTCTGTTCCATCACACATCTCTTTCCAAGGTCTGGTAAAACCAGATGAACTTCCAGAGGAAAGATGTGGTGGACTTATAAGCAAAACTAGCAGCTTTTATACTATTTCTTTGCCTTCGTCCAGCGAAGCATTCACAGTGGTGTTAACCTTTAGACACAAACAGCAATGAGATTGTTTACATGATTCAAGAGACACCTAAGCTTAAGTGCTTTGCTGGACTGCGACGTGAAGTCTTTGTCCAAACCCTACTGTTATGAAAGGAAAGGTTCTCACTGGCTTTGGTGGGTGCTTCCCCAGGACCTGAACACTGACACCAGTTGTTTCAAAGCTGCCTGAGAGGGATGGATGACCAGTGTCACCTGTCTATATGGGAACTCTGTATGTAAAGAAGGTGGTACTAAATATGGCTGAATGAGCTACTTTGCAAGTCCTACGTAATCTGATTTATAGTGCCTCCAAAACCTCTGGCTTCAATGAGATGAACCTCTTTACAATAGCCAGCAATAAGCAGTCACACTGGTGGGTATCTTGCTTTATGGGTAAAGAGAGGCAATAGGACTTCAAATGGTAAACCTTTTAATATCAGGTATGCTGGTACAAATTTGTAAGGTTGTCCATACCTAGAGGCTATGGTTGAAATCTTCTAAATTAATTTCTGTTTACCAGTACAGAGGGGAAAATGTGCCTGGACCTCCCACCTCCCTCTCCTCCTCTTCCTGTGGAGGAGAATGCTCACTTTGTGAACATATCAAAATCAGCTCTTAAGACCAGGAAAGCTGATCCTGGGAAGGAAAGGAACTCACAGCAAGGAGTCTTACTAGCACGCTTCTCTCTGTTCTGGGTTTAGCCAGTGCATGCCCCCGAAAAATGAAGCTTTTTCCATGCCCTTGTGAGGAGTGCAAAGGTGTGAGAAAATGTTACATGGCAGAGTGGGGAGATAATGATGCTGAACTTCAAAACAGGATTAACTTGGGCCAAGTTTTGAATATAATCTCAAACAGTTCCCTTCAGCATTTCCCACCCCCAATCTCCTCTTCTTCATGACAACAGCCAGCTTCTTTAAGCAGTGTTTAAATCATGCTAGCCAGTACCTAGCCACCCATGGCTGATGTCTTGCAAAAACCAAGGTGGGGCGGGCAGGGGGGCATTGTATTAGGGTAGTGGTTCAGTTAGACAGTTGAGGTTGGTATTCAAGATATTGGTAGAGCTGAGACTAATTTCCTCTTTCTGTCCCATGCCCTCATCACATTTTTCTGCCTTTTCACTGTTTCACTGTTTTACTGGCTTTAAGAATTCCTACAAAGAAAGCTGAAGGTGTTCAAGTTACAGCACTGGAAGCCTAAACATGGAAAATACCAGAGACACTTATGTAAATACAAAAGAGGGGTAGTTAGCATGGAAGGAGGAGGAATGGGTTCGAAAGTGCAGGTGGACCACAACAAATGATCTTGCTTAGATCTTGACCCAAGCTGGGGAGATTTCTCCCTTTGCTGTCTGTATTGTGACCACGAGATGGAAAGAAATTATTAAAAAAAAAGAACCTAGCTGGAAGTGGTCAATTTTCATGCTGCTGTTGTTCATGGTGCCAAAAATTGTAATGACTGAGATCTTCCTCGTTGCCATCTTGCAGAAGCTCTCCAGATATTCATCTCGCTGCTGTACATACATGGTGTTGTCCGCCTTGGGGGTTGTGATCAGCTGGTTGGTGGCAGAGACAAAAGAGCTTGTTTAGTATAAGGAATGAAGCAGATGAGTATTTTACTGAAGGAGAACTAGTCACTGTGTGCAAACTGGGCTTCCTTTTCCACAGAGCTGTTGACAGCTCTGTAGCCTTTTTTTATTTATTTATGTTTGGAGTGTAGCTTTAGGCCCAGGCCTGACCCAAAGGTGTTCAGCCAGCCACAGGAAAACCTTAGGAAGCACGGTCAGCTGGTGGCACCAGCTCTTCCGCTGCCTCTCCACAGTCCTGGTAGAAATAGCACTGGATTTTACAGAAAACTATGTACTCTCCTATTATCCCTTGCCCTGCCAGTCCCTCCAGGTCTCCTTCACGGCCTTCAGTGGTGCCATGAATCTAGGATTCCTTCTGCTCACTAACAGTGGGAGCACTGGGAACATGGCAGAGCAGCTTCTCTGGCCTCATCTCATGGTCCAGGCAGGGCTCCCAGTGGCTGTTCTAACTGTCATAGGGTGACAACTAGGGCTATATGAATACTTACGTAACTGATGGCCAATTAAGAAGACTTTGAAGACTTGCTAAGGCCATTGTGACCTCATCTGAAAATTGCTGATTTAGCTTTTGTTTGTTCTAAGCCACTTTGATGTCTTACAGGACTTACATTTGCTGAGAAGGCATGGCTATGGGGGAAGAGCAGGAGGAGGAATAATTGCAACAACAAAAGTGTAAAAATCTCTCCAGTTAATAGTATTTATTTCAAAGCCTCCTAACAATTCCAAAGTTTTAACTTTTAAAAGTTTACAGCACACAATTTAGATCCTTTGTCAGTGACTGAGATGCAAATATTCCAGGGAAGGTGTGTCCCTAACAGCATGCAGTGGTCCTATGCAGCAGTTTCCAGCAGAAGGTGGAGAGGAATGCCGCAGCTCTAGCAATGTAATCATTCTAACTGGTAGCAGTGAACTGCAGTCAAGCACCTGCCATCGATCCCCCAAACACAAAGGGAGTTAGAATCAGGATCCAAATTTTATGGTTTAAGGTCATAAATAATCACCAGAATCCTTCAATAGCAAACTTATGCTTTAGTCTGTAAGAGGTGCAATCATCTTCTAGCTGTCTTCTTAAGTTTGTAGGGCCTGGAGGCTAATTTTTATGATTTACTCCTTATAAATCCAGTTCATCAGTGTACTGAAATGTAAGAGGCATTTCTGGGCTTATAAGATCTGACTCTCATTTATGCAAAGGCCCCCTGGCATGACTACAGCATTGGGACATGAAGGTGAATGAGAGTCCGACACAAAGAGGATTTGATTTCTGGGCCATAACATGTAATACGTTGCTTTTAAATGGCATAGAAATGCTTCAAATGAAAAAAGGATCATGAAAAGGATTTGAGGACTAAGATCAAAACGAGAACATTGGTTTGTGTTGTCCTCCTAGTTTTGGAGGCCGTAAGCAGGAATGCACAGTCAAGTCTGAATTTGATCTACTTTATTAAACCTTGTAGAACAAAGCGGGGAACATTTAAGAGGCAAAGCAAACTTTGTATCAAAGCTTTGTGCCAGGACTGTTTTAATTCAGGTAGTATATACACGGTATCTATCTGTATTTGCATGCACCTGTGTGCATGTGCATGTCTATATATGTGCATGTGGGTATAAATGGAGTGTTATATATGGACTGTCGGTCAGCATTACATCACCACAGAGAAATAAACAAAAAACCCAAAGTCACAAAGCCAAGATTTCTCAACATTAGTAAGGCTGCCATAAAAGCCCCACTATAGAGCGGTGGGGCTGCAGGACTCAAAACCCATACATTTTTTCAGTTTCTGCAGCTGGGTCCTATATTTGTCATTCATTGAACTTAACCCAGAATAGCCTTCAAAAGTCTGGATATTTGAAATTCACACTGCAATCTGAAATCTGAAATCCTTAGTGAGGTGTAGGACTTAAAAACTCATGTCCCTCTCAAAAAACTTTTGGGAGAGGACTGAAACAATGTCCTTGGGAGCCAGTCTATTGAAGCGGCTGAAAGATAAAAGTATAGCAAAGCAATGGAGAATAACTGAGGTAGAGCCACTTCTGCAGCAGTGTAGGGTAATTCTTTAGAGAGGGAGTTTGAAGACTCATGAATGACAGAGTTCATCTAGCTGGAAGGACTGATCCTAAGGGAACAGAACAGTTTGATAGGAAGGGATGCAAACAGGCACATGCATGGATTCAAAGAAGCTTGAGAAGTTCTTTGTTTTCCACATGTGCCATGCATGGCGAAGAGATAGTAGAGTTCAGTCACTGCTTTTGCTGATGACCAAATCAAACCTATTCTCCAAGAAACTTCAGAGCAAGCAGGCTGAGGATGGTATTAGATACTGGAAAAGTGAAGTGCAGCGTGGCATAATCATTTGTCTTCAGTGAGTTTTGGCCTGACAGCCTGATATTGTGCAACTCTTTCCTTGGAGAGCCAGCTGAGATGTGGCCTAGTATCAGAAGGTTCAAATTTCAGACTGTCCTTTAAGTTGCCAGGACTGTGTTGGTGTAATGAATTAGCAGCCTGACATTTGTAAGCTCTGCTTTTGGCTCTTTTTTCAAATTTGTTTTTATTTGTCCTGATGCTACACATATTCTTGGAAGCCACAGTGTTGAGATATATGACCAAATTTCAGAGATTCCAAACTTGTGTGCAGTTTCTCTCTCTGAGCTTTTGATTTGGCTAAGTATTAGTTAACAAGTAACTAATAGGCATTATTTGCAAAATTCAGTCAAGTTCAAATTTTTCAAATATATGGCTTTTCTCCATTTCCAACATGTTGGGGAATGCAAGTCTACTACCTCTGCACAGCCCCTACAGCTGGAAGAATGGGGAGGGGGAGAAGAAAGCTGCCTTCTGCTCAGGTCTGTGAATCATCAGCAGAATGATTAATTAAATTCCAATGGTTGAAATTTTAGCTTGGCATCTTAGCTATTTGTATTGGAATATGGGGCATGAAAGTCAAAGCTATGTTTGTGATACTGACTATTGGACAATAACTGTGAAACAGGCCAGCTTGCAGTGGAATAATTGCAAGAAACCAGCTCCCACAATAATATTTTTAAAGAACTGTTTTTCCAAGTGTACCTTTCAGGGTATGTGCCATCTGCCAGAAAAAACATTTGTACTACAGCTAAAACTGTTTCCTGTCCCAGGTGAAGTGTTTTTTTAGATAAGTAGTTGGAAAAACATACAACACTATTAAACCCTGGGACAAGTTAACTCCAGACCGTGCTGAGTTTCTCAGACTTGAAAACTTACCATAGTGTTACAGTATAATAGAAACAGCAGGAGAAAAAACCAAAACAAAATAAAGTTTGCATGGGATCTCTGAAGATATCTAGGAGATCTGAATGCCAGAAAGAATAGCAAATGTAACAATCCTACTTTAGGGCATCTGATCATATGCCTTTGTGCATATCCTCAGTCAGACATGCGCTAGTACTGCCAAGCCACCTGGCTTGCTTCCAGTTTTAGGACACCAGCACCAATATAAAACAGGTGTGCCAGCTGGCAGGACATGCTGAGCATCGAAATGTGGTAACATTGGCAAGTACCCTAAAGCAATGAATGGATGTAATCCACACTGGGACATCATTTTATCAATATATCTATACAGATCCTGACACCCACATATCCACTGGAAACAAAATAATCTGATGGTCTTTTGGGTCTAGAAATTTTACCTCTTAAATGAAAGCACCAAAAAAGAACAATGCAAAACTACCATAAACTTCCTGTTGCGCATATTCCCACTAAGAGGGAGATATGACTTCATTTAGGTAATAAGATTCAAATGAACGAGTTACTTACAATGAGCCGCCTTTTGCCTTCAAAATATTCCAGGAGGTCAGTCACTGATTTCCTGGGAGGCTGTAGGAAAGGCTTCTTGTTGGACTTGGGGAAATCCTCATTCTCAGTCCTGCTCCCCTTCTTGTTCTTCTTGCTACGGTCTTTGTCCTGCTTGTTCTTTTTCTCAGCTTTGTCCTTCTTGGACTGCTTCTCACTCTTGTGTAGCTTGTCAGGTCTGTCTTTCTTCTTCTTCTTCTCAGGTTTATCCATTCGCTCGTGCTTCTTTGATTCTTTTCCTTTCTTTGGGGGAATATTTCCTGCTGCAAACTCCTCCTCTAAATGGGAACTAGCAGGCTTGCTCGGGTCATATTTATCTTCATATTCATTGTTCAGTATCTTTTCTTGGGCCTTCTTTTTCGGTGGTTTAGTCTTAGTTGGTTTGTGTTGCCCTGGTGTGACATTCAGGTCCCTGTGGTTATAGTCCTTTCTGTCTGTTCGGTTATCTTTAAATCTACCCACATTTGCCTTTGTATAGTGCACTGAGGGAGCTGTTGGGACTTCTGTGAAACTGTCATAGCGGGTAGCTTTGCTTGGTTTCCGTGTGGCCGTCGAATGTTTCTCTGGGTGGCCGCGCTGCCGGTCCCTGCGGTTTGCCTTCCACACAGGAGAGTAGAAATCCTCAGAGACTGTGACTCGTGGCGTGGTGGCATCGGGGGCTACTGGCAGCCTGTGGTACTCTGTGGTGGAATGTGACTTTGTGGTCCAGGTCCTCTGCGTGGTGGGGAGGGGTGTAGTTGTTGTCGTAGACCGGCTTGCTGTTGTCACTGCACGGGTGGTGGCGCGCGTAGTTGTGGTGGTGGTGGGAGGGAGCGTAGTGGTCCTTACTGTAGGCAGAGGAGTAGCCACTGTGGTTGTCATCGGTTTCCTCACTGTTTTGGTCCTTGGTGGCTGATTATTGCTCTTCCTTGGCTCCTCCTTCCTTGCTGACACCTGGACATGTCCACCGCCGGGGGTAGGCTGGGTGCTGCCCCCATTGTTGCCTTCCTCAACCACTTGTCCCTCCACCCCAGCTGCTTTGCAAGTCTGGATGAAGCCCTTCTGCCTCATCTTCTCAATTTTTCTGATGGGGCTCTGATCAATGACTTCATACATGGCCTCTAGCCTGACTGGATAAGGGTACCTTTCCTCCACCTGCAGAGTTTTCTTCAACAGCACCATGCCAAATTTCCCCTTCTCCAGCTTCAGAAAGCTCATGAGCTTAGGGATGAGGGCAGGATCTAGTGGCTGCTCCAGGATTTTTCCTTCATTGGTTATCCTTCTGACTTTTCCCCCTTCTTCCCCTTCTTCATGGAACAACACAATCTGCTGGATGTGCCTCTCAGCCAGTTCACAGTAAACATCATTTTTCAGCAGGCTCATCATGAGCCGGTAGTAGCCCTCAGAGGCATGGGGGGCAGAAATGACCCACACCCGATTTTTCCCAGCAAAGCTGGCCAGGACATTGGGGGAACTTGACCCTGAAGGGAAACGTACCACTCGTGTCTGTGAGGCAGAGGATATCCCTTCGTCCTTAATCATCTCAGACTTGGAGTATTTGGCTGCAGCTGTGAGTCTCTGTACCCGTCTCGTTCTGGTCCCCATGCCCCTGGCCTGGGAACGTGCTTCCCCTTGCAGGAGATTGGCAGGTGCCTTTGGAGGTGCTGAAGAATGCCTCCTGGTGCCGGGGTGTTGGGGATTTGGGCTCGAATTCCTCAGGGATGCTCCAGACCTTCTCAGGAGGCTGCTTGGAGCCCTGTAAGCCAGGGGCACTTTCCCAACTCCATGGCTCCCTCTTTCCGCTAGCCTCCCTGTCTTAGAGCCACACACTAGCCATGCTGCCCACAGCAGGGCTAAGCTGAGAGCTGGCCTCCAGTTCATTGTGCAATCTGCTTGAGGGGAGGAGGAGAAAAAGAAAAAGTTAGATGTTAACAGTATGATGGTATCTTGCGCAAGTGATAACAAAAATCAAAGCACAGGCTGGCTAGTTTTTGTGATTTGAAAGTGTTGATTACACCTCAGTCCTGCCCTGGTGGCTTTGTACAGTTTACAGTTATTTTTTGAAAAGCACAAAATCATTTTATGCAAAAATGAGATCATCTGTTTGTAACATGACTCTCTCTATCCAAAAGGACACTGTGATCTGCATCCTTCTCTGTCTCTCACGCTCACTTACACACATGCAAACATGCACAGAGAAATGGTCTGGTATGTAGAGCAGAAAGCCAAAAATTTGACTTGAGACTTACACTCTCAGGGAAGTTCCCCTTCCAGAGACGAGGTTTCACGTCTTTTTCCTTTAAAAGGAGACCAATGCCATGCAGCTTTGCTGCTGCCCAGTGATTTATCTTTACGCAGCCCAATAGGTCCCAGAGCCTGTCCGTCTTCCTGTGTGTCTTTTAACTTTCTTTCTTCTTCACCTTCTTGACAAGTGGGATGAGGTTAGCGGAAATTTCCTTTGGGATCTCTGCTTCTCCATTTACCTGCAGGTCTGGCTTTTTGCTGTAGTGGTTACCCACACAGGCAGGGATTTCATTTAAGAAAAGGGAACTCCAGGCTGCTCCGAGTCTCTCTCTTTTAAACTTCCCAAGCCTTCTTCCCACTCCTTGCTTCCTCAGTCCCGTTTAGTTCCTTTGTTTCCAGAGAGGAAAGCACCAGCATTAATATATTTTCCAGGCTGAAGAAAAACACAGGAATGTGATGCTGGAAAAAAAAGACACTTCCCTTTCCCCTTTCTCGACACTTTGACAAAAGCAGATTGTAAAAGACTCGTCTTTTCTTCTCTTTCCCTTCTTGGCTGGCCACGCTCCCAGAAATGTCAGGGTAACCCCAGCCCCGCTCCGAACCAGCCTCAGACAACCGTGGCCACTGGAAATGGGGGAAACTTCACTCAGGATTTAACAGCTCAGCAGAACCCGCCTCCTCCCCACTCCGACACAGGGAGGGAGGAGGAGGAGGAAGGCTCTGGGGGCTGAAATACTGCACAGCATCACAGAGCATTTCAGAGAGAGTGACTCCAGCCTTAACTCTTTCCTTCACGCGTCCCAGCTCCCTGGGGCTCCTCAACCTCGGCTTTCTCTTTCCTCCCATTGAATGGACACCGTCTGGATAAAAAATAGTCCTGTGAGAAGTGTGTTTCCTCATCGGTGTCAATAACAGCTCTCGTGTTTAAGAGTTACTGGTTTTTAACCCCATTATTTCTGCCTCCTGTTCCCCTCTTCCTTGTTTGTTTGCTTTCTGGGAGTTCTCCAGTGAAATCCAATTTCCCTTCACTTTCCAATTGATTTCTTTTTTAGGTCCTCATGTATGTCGGTGTAGTCTTTTCTGCAAACATCATATGGGCATGGCTGTTTGTTAATTTCTAGTTTTTAAAGAGATCAGAATGTTTATTATTGTACTAAAATCAGAGTTGTATGTATTTCCCATGAATGTGCACTAGCAGTGCAAAAAGCCAAAAGGTGCAAAAATACCTACAGAGACATGGGTAAAGACAGGGTCACGTCCTTTGCTCTCCCTTCATGGTGTAAATGACACCATTCTATTGAGCTGACGTAAACTGGCACAGCTACGCTGCCAGCACCTGGTCTTTAGCTGATTCATACTGGCTTCAGTGTGTCGTGCACCTTCAGTGTAAAAGACCACTTAATTGTAGTCAATGGATAACACCTAAAAACATCCAAAACCTTAATACTACTTTTACTGTTTCCCAAGATTTCACTTATTTACAGAGATGGTGTTGCATTTCCATGATAACATACTGGATTTGACCTCGGTTATCTTGGGGGCGGGGGGGAGGCGTACCTTCTACTTCCCTTGAAATTAATGTTTCAAGGATAAAAAACTTTCTTTTCTTTCTCTCTTTCCTTATTTGCTTCATTTTTACTTTAAGTTGTCCAATGCACTGATAAACAGTAGTGGTTTTGCTAATACATGTCCACAGTTTGCATTCTGTGGCCAGTGGTTTGCCCTGGAGGTAGGGGAGGATGCTGAATGCTTGTGCTTACATTAACATGAGTGCAGAAATGCTCAGCCTCTCCCAGAATATCATATCCTACATCTGCTGGGAGGTAGGAGGATTGTGTCTCTCACAAGAATCACAAAACTGGAGTTCTGTGGAGCAAGGGTGGGTAACATTTTCCACTTAAATTAGTTGGCATGTCTGCTGGTTTATTGATCTTGACAAGAAAAAAATGTCTCTAAGCATTACACTTGTAACATTTTAAAGAAACTATAATTCAAAATGAGGTTTTCATTTCAATGTTTCCTCCAGCTTTATTACAAAGATTTAAAAAGGAAGTGACCCTACAAAGCTGAAGCCCAGTATTTAATTTGGGGTAAATTAATTTAAAAACACCAAACCTAAGTGACCTCAATTGTCTTGGTTTTGGTGATAATTTGAAACCACACAGAAGCAAACCATCACTTACCTGCATAGGTCTAATGAAGTCAAGAAAAACACGCTCAGTACATGACAAGAAAGGGAAGAAACAGATTTCCGTATTAGCTCTGCTGTCCATCCTATCCAATTACAGATATGCTAAAGAATTTCTGTGAGGACTTTGCTTTGCTCTCCCAACCTGATTAAAAAGTAGCATGCTACAGAACCTGTCTTAAACGTATCAAAGGGTGGCACATCGGTGAAGATGATAGATTGTAAGGCAGCTGTAGGGAGGGGCTAGCACGCAAGAAGGAATGGAGCCACGGGGATTATTCTCAAGACTGATGTTTGTTAGTATCTTTATCTGAGGTGAGGAATCAACTTGAAATGACTGCTGGAAATATTTGGCATCAGAATTTCTTAGAAAGTAAATAATTTATACAGGCCAACATGGGACTCCTGGTAAAGCGAACATATACTTTAAAGGCCCAGTGCAAGGTCATACGGCAAGAAGCAAAAAAAAATGCATGAAACATGCATAAGATAAAGAACGATATCCTGGAAGGCAGCTATTCTGTAAGGTACTTAAAGGTCACAGTATATAAGCCACTGGAAATAAGCTTGTGGTGTAATACTGCAGCAAGGAGAAAGTCTGCCGGCACGCCAATGAGAAGTTGGGAAGTCCTATGTAGTGTCAATAAGGTGGTTACTGCCATGCACATCAGGCTTTTCAAAAGTATTGCAAGGTTCAAAAGGGTTCAAAAAGTGACCTGATGCCTGGATATGATCCTATTGTAATGGAGGTGGGGAAATAACTATGTGGAAGGCACAGCCACACTTTGGTCATAATCTCATGCATACACAGGAAGGAGACTTCTGAAAATAAATTGCTTTTTAATCCAGCAGAGGAAGGCAGAAGGATAACTAATGATTAGGAATTAAATCTTGACAAATGCAGACTTGAAATAATTGCAATTACTTGCCATTTTAAATAATGATCTCAGTTAACCCCTGGGATAATTTCCCCAAGAATGTGGTGGTTTTCTGCTGCTTAGTTTTCATATCAAGGCTCTAAGAGACCTTCTTGGCTGGACTGGAAGTCATGGCAAAAGGATGGAATGAGATCCCTATGGAGACATCTATATGGGAAATTTGAGATCAAAATGGCACCCACCCCTGTAGAGTGCAGCTCTCTGGAGGCTTAGGGAAATTAATTCTTTAGCCCACTGAACTGACATGAGCAATTTGAGAAAGGTGGAATGCAATGTACAAACCCTGTAGCCCTCAGAGTGGTTTTATTAAGGAACTGAAAGTTAATGCTATGTTCACAAAGGAGAAGTATATATCTGTTTAAGGATGACAGCACTGTGAGTCTTTCTATATTCTGCTTTAGGTATCAGACTTAAAAATTTATTTATCAAGTGTGTCAAGGGATGTGCACATAACTACACTATTATTTCAGCTGCTAAAGAATTAATGGGAAAGTCAACTACCTCCTGAACTAGAATTTTTTCTCACTCCTACAAAACCTGGAGAGAGAAGGTAGCAGCAAGAAGGAGACAGAGGAGCGAGTGGGGAAAGCTTTCTTTTTCAATAGACTTCCAGGCAATCCTCCAGAGAGTGTGGGAGAAACTGCTTACAAGGAAGGTGAAAGGAGGCAAGGGGCTTGGGAAAACTGGCATCAGCTGCTTTGCACAGTGCTGGGGAGCTGGGAGCCAGATAAGCAGGTGTACGTTCCCCTGCTGATGCCGGTGGGGGGTTATTAGAATAGAGAGCACCAGAGCCTGAATCCTGTGAAGCCAGACATTGTTGATGCTCTAAGAAGGGACAGGTTTCTTGAATCCCGCTGGCTCCTCGCTTTCCTGAGAGGGGAGGAGGCTATTATTAGTGATCTGACTGGGGTCATAACCCAGCCAGCAGCTGGGGAAATAACAACTAATAGTGTAAACAGGGGAACTGCGCTGCAGCCCCCTGTATGTAAGCAGGAAAAGGAGTCAGTACAGGGAGGCTTGCAAAAGCAGTGACCCATAATAAAAAGAGCAGTGCCTGGTTAGTCAGATCAAGCTCCTAAAATAGAAAGGCACTTTTGATAAATAGGTTGGCCTCATTTGAGTCTTCACTTTTTAAATATACATTTCTCTGTGGAGTCTCCAGGAATGTTGCTTAGAAACTGGTGATGCAATGTGACACTTCAAGCTTTAAAAATAAATATTACAAACTTTAAAATTAAATGCTTTAAACTGAGGCTAAGCCTCCTAGGTACTGACAGGGTTGCAGCCCCAAAGGTTCAGGCTGTATCTGAGACGCAATGAAATTCTGATGTCTGGGTGTTATTACTGGCCTGTGCTCGAGCTGACCTTGAGTTTAGCACCTCTCCTTGTCTGGTTTACAGAGCTTCCTGGTGAGAGGAAGGCTTTCACATAGACTCATTTCTTGTTCTACATCTGGTTGACATCTGGGATAGAAACGTCAGCCAGGGAGAACAAAACATCTTCTGGCCAGCACTGACCCAAGTTCTGCCCGAAACTGACTGATGCAACTGGTGTTATGTACACTAAGATGAAAGTGTTATACATGAGAGCAAGTGAATACAAAGATTGCCATCTGCCGGTCTGGCAAACAGCGTTAGCTAGTCACAGGCTGGTGGGAGCGATAAAGCCATTGCAGTGTACTGCAAATGGTTTCTTGACGATGCAGCTGCTGAGGTGCAGCATTCAGAAAACCGCAGAAATACTCGTGGCATAGTTACAGACAGTCAGTCACAGAAATAGTTCTTGAGATGATTAGGAAAAAGAGACTCCATTAGCTCCAATCATCAATGAGTGGGGCCAACACCCCTCTCTTACAGCAGTGTAACCCTGTAAGCTGTACTACTGGCATCTCATGATGCTGTTGTTCCAAGATTGTCCCATGAAGTGCCCTTAGTTACCTCTTCCAAATCACATGCCTGCACGGCTAAATGAATTTGGCCATGGCAATGAACTCACCAGCTGCAAGGGCCTGGATTCTCATCTCTTTTGCACCTCTGCAGCGGAGGGCTTTATGCTAGCATAGGTCTGAACACTGATCCACGCCACCTCCTTTCTCTGGCGTGCTTTCTTTGTCCTTCTGCCTCCCTTTGTCTGGGGGACTTCCAGGCGATGTCGAGTCCTTCTGAACGGAGGGGGGATTCTCTCCTGGCTCTCACGGCCCCACTTAGTGGTACAAAACAGATTTAAGCAGGATGGAAGCTGGTGCTTATACAACTTCTCTCTTTGCACAAATACTAGGACTTGGATTCTTAATGCAGAGCTCCCAGGTCTGATCTCTTTGACAATTGTTTTGTCCAAATGCAATCACTTATGGCTTTGCACGCTTGGAAGAAGATCAAGTAGAAATTGCCCTGCAATACAATCAGCTCATTCACTTACCAGGGAAGACCCAGCTCTCCTCTGCACTAGTAGAGGAACTTCAATGAGATTCCGCCAGAAAACAGAGCCCAC